TTTCCCGTGGGAACATATTCTGGAGTTCTGCTGAGAAGTCAGAGTCAGTTGCAGTTTGTTCTCAAAGATCTACTTTAACTCAGTTCTGGGCATCCCATACCACCCTAAACCCCATTCAAGTTGTTTCCCCCAATAAACAAACAAGCCCTTGGACTGGTATTCTGAATACCGTATGTCTGCTGAAAATGCTTGTTACCTGGCTGTGCAGAGAACAGGGGCCCAAAATCCAGCAGCTCCTAAGATGGCAGCGCTACACAAAGCTTTTACATAATTATAAGTATAGATGACAAGAACATAGTTCATACAACACCTGTCCGCTGCTTTCCAGTAATGCACAAAAACGTGTAGCCCTCTTGCAGATGCACAGCTGTGCCATTTATTCTTAATGCCACCCCCATTCATTTAGCAATGCACACGCCAAAATGCATGGTTATAGTATGCACTCAAAACGCCTCGAACAACTTGCAGCATCACCACATACTTGTCGAATCATACCGAATCAAACGTCTCTGTGGCAGATTTACCCAGTTTCAGGCAGAATTTCAAATTTGCTCTTTGTTCTAACTTGCTGTCCATGATGAAATAGCAGACATGATAACACATGTGGTCAGAATAGCACCAGTTGCACAGCACCCAATGTACACAGGATTATGTCTTTTGGCACACTGGCTTATGAAGGTCGGTGCTCCCTGTGACTGTTCGTGCAACCCTGTGCTGCCATCTGTTGGCATGTTACAAAACTAGTCTCGAAACGATACTACCTCGTACATGAAGGTAGTTAAAGTAACATCAATAAAATCAATCAAATACCTATTGGAGAGGGGCCATGCATTATGTATTTATTTCTATCAAGACATTTCTGTGACACTTGTACCTGAGTGTACTTGTATAGTCATAAATACACTCATTTACAAGTGTCACAGAAATGTCTTGATAGAAATAAAAACACAATCATTAATGCATGGTTCCTCTTCAGTAGGTTTTTTTTCTTATTAACTGTTATTTTTTTAGTTCTTTAAATTTATTTTTCATTGAGGAGTATTTGAGCCCATATTCTAATGTGCTCATGAGCACAAATCTCACTTCTCCTCACTTCCATGGTTACATTGTGGCCATTCACTGTGTATACCAATCACTTCTCTTCTCAGTCAGTGAAGAGAAGTACGATTGTGAATAAACATGTTCTCCTCTGAGAGCTGTATAGACAGTGAACAGTCGTAATGTGTATAGTGTAAAGGCAAGACAAATTGCTTGTTAATGAATGGACACCAATATCTGTTATATGTAAAAAAAAATGCCTGTGGATCGTGTCAAAATTCAGAGTTGTCCTGTGTCCTGAGCACTCTTCATGTGTTATCTCAAATAGTTTACATAACCTTCCTAGACCTTATGGTGGACTATGGAATGGACATTGGGAGGGATTTGGCAGTTTAGCAAGACAACTGGGTAGGGTTGACACCAATCAGTCCACACAAATGTTGTGCGTTGTCAGCACACAACAAGAAATAAAAGGAAGATTTCTGGCACATCAACAGGTTGAAATGAATAAAATGTGGGAAATGTGCATGTACTGCACAGATGTACTGCATTTGTTTTATTTTGCCTTTACATACAAGTTGAGATCATGGGTACATTTATTGTATAATGTACTAATTAACTATTCTTTTTCAATGTGTAAGGCACACAATTCACGCTAAATGAGAGGTCATGATTGTAACACACTCTAGTGTAGATAGGTTTTTCTGTATATAGTAAGAGGCTTGCTAGAAGCCTGGGTGAGAGTCAGCCTGGGAGTGAGTCAGCAAGGTTACTTTAGGTTAGGGTGGAGGGCTACACAGGTCTGTCCTCTGGTACATTCCCCTGCTATAGAAACTTGGAGAAGTTTCTAAAAGCCAGTGGGTGGAAGTGAGGCGGGGCTGAACTGCATATTTATGGGAGTCTGACCAATCCCAGGCAGGAGGCCTAGCAGTGTGGGAGATCATCCAATAAATATGAGAGAGCCTGGCCAGCAGAAGAGTCAGGTGAAAGATGGGATCAGAATGTGCTGCTGGTGGGGAGCCTGGGAGGGGTCCCCAGAGAAGGGGGTCTACCTACAGGCTGGGAGTTTGAAAGAGGGACCTCTACTGTTCCACAGTCTGCCAGGGAAGAACAGCCTGTCAGCAAGGGAAGAAGCCAGCTTAGCATCAGGCCTGATATCAGCTTCACCTTTTAAAGCAACAGGAATATCTCTACATCCCCTGGGCCTACAAGGGAGAGCACAGTGAGGTGCCGTACCCAACTAGTTCTCCATGGGACAGTATACATATGTGTCTCAGAATTCCTTGCCCTGGGATACTCTTTATGACAGCCAGGTGGATGAGGAGATCTTCATCTAGGGTCTGAAGACAGTTAATTTAAGGGGACTAAGTGCTCCTAGTAAGGACTGTGTGCTGATCCATTAAGAGACAAGAGCCACTCTAGAGGGACTAGAAAGTCCAGGATTTAATTTTTCTGCTTTTTGTACATAGGAAGTTTGTCCTCCAAGTTGTTTCAGTTCCATTGGGCATCCCCTATACCCCTGGACCCCATCCAAGTTGCTTAACCCCTAATGAAACAACAAAACCAACCAAGCTCATGGACTCTTTACTGACTTTGGATGCAAGAGTGGAAAATATGTGTTTTGCCTGTTCGTGCAGGAAAATAGGGGGACTCAAAATCATCTGCTCTCAAGTGGGTAGTGCTACAGAATTAACAAAGCACCCAGCATGGCATTGATCCTAGGGCACTGCAATTATTTTAAGGCCTAAAACCTGGTACACACAGGAAACTATTTTTTGTTCAGCCCAGCTATTCAATGTTAGTACTGCGATCACCCCACTGTGCTATTGTGTTCTGACCCCCGCCGTTGGCTGAGAGCGCTGATTGAATGTCAATTGACTGCTGGTTTTCCAGCATGCTTGCTCGACTGAAGCCTGTCAAACAAGGACCTGTACACACAAGATGAATGTTGGCCAGTATCTACTGTACCAGCTAATTTTGGCCATTATTCACCCCAGGTGTCTGGAGCTTAAGAAGAGGGGAATATTGTATACAGTACTACCACTTGGTGTGTAGAAATGTGAAAATTTACATGAAAGTACATTCAGGTAAGCATTCCAATAGCAGCTCAAACAGAAACCTTATGAAAATAGAAAATTGCATTCCTTTAACAAAATTAGCACCAGCAGGAGGTAGTGTAGAAAATCACTAAACTGGTGGTTGCAAGTTCAAGATCAAGCACAGCAAAAAACTTTGTGATGAACAGAAATAGCACTCTGGGCAGCTTAAGGTTCTCGTATCAACCTATAAATCAGGAAAACTATGGCCACAGTAGCAAAACAACAAACAAGAGAGAGGCAATACCAGGAAGCGAGGAGCAAGCACCATCTTTTATTGCAAACTTTAACATCACATAATCCAATGCCCAATATTAGAAGTATGATAGATGATTTCATTTGTCTGCCATTTTAGTGTCTAGGTAGCGAGTGTTAAAAATCTTGATAAAAAAAAAAACAAACAAACCAAACAAGGCAACAAAATTGTCCTTTCATTGAAATGTCAAGACAACAAAATGAATTTAATATCCACTTCTGCCTGTCAATCAAGTTTCATTTTAGTAGCAGAGCTGTTCTTTTTCTGTTTTAAGAAAATGAAATAGAAGATTTTAAAAGACAACTCTTAAGAACTCCTACATTTAAACTTACCACTTTCATAGTCCTAAAAATTGTAGTGAAAACATCTTTGGGAATGGAAATAAAACACTAAAAGATACAATTCATTAAGATATATAACTTGTGTCATTTGCCAGAATGAATGTTATCTTCAGCCATTTGAATGTTATTTTCGGCTCTTACAGTATTTGGCTTTCATTGCTGAAGCAGTCATTATGACAAATTAATACAACCTAGTTAATGTAACCTGTGCGTTACCCATGTAGAGGAAGGATTCACTTAAAGCGCACTTAAACCCAAAACCAAAAATGCAATATATTGCAGCTCTCTAGCCCCTAGATTAGATGACTGCAATATTTTCTTTTTTTAGATTTTTTTTTTTACCTTTCTTCATCTCCATTTTAGAGGGTGATGGGATTATTAATTTACATAAGAAAGATAACATTGTTTTTGCTTCTAGTTATCCTCGCAGGTAGTGACAAGAACAGGCATTTTCTGTACTGAAAATGTTTTTAGCCAGAAAAAAAGAGAACTAATGCAGCCATTTCTAAGGAACAGTAACCTGAAATATATAAACGTTTTCTTCTTGATTTAGATGTGCTTTAATGGATAAGAAAACCCACTGACTAAAATCTCTCATAAGCTTCACCACCCACTGAATCCGATATATATTGCAATGTTTCTGACTACAAAGTGTATATTAACCACTAGCCTACAGGGCACTTATACCCCCTTCCTGCCCAGGCCAATTTCCAGCTTTCAGCGCTGTCGCACTTTGAATGACAATTGCGCGGTCATGCAACACTGTACCCATATGAAATTTTTATCATTTTTTGCGACAGATAAAGCTTTATTTTGGTGGTATTTAATCACCTCTGGGTTTTTTATTTTTTCTTAAACAAACCAAAAACCACTGAAAATTTGGAAAAAAATATGTTTTTTCTTAGTTTTTGTTATACAATTTTGTAAATAAGTGATTTTTCTCCTTCACTGATGTGTGCTAATGGGGCTGCACTGATGGGCACTGATAGGTGGCACTGATGAGGAGGCACTGGTAGGTGGCACTGATGGGCATTGACAGGCATCACTGATGGACACTGAAAGGCAGCACTGATACATGGTACTGATAGGCAGCACTGATAGGCGGCACTGACTGGCACTAATAGGCGGCACTGACTGGCACTGATAGGCGGCACTGACTGGCACTGTTAGGCAGCACTGACTGGCTCTGTTAGGTTGCACTGACAGACACTGATAGGCGGCACTGATGCACACTGATAGGCAGCACTGACTGGCACTGATAGATTGCACTGATTGGCAGCACTGATAGGTGGCACTAATTGGCATTGATAGGTGGCATTGACTGGCACTGATGGGTGACACTGAAAGGCAGCTCAGATGGGCACTGATATGTGGCATTGATGTGCACTGGTAGGCACTGATATGTGGCACTGATGTGGCACTGATGGGCACTGGCACGAGACACTGATGAGCACTGACAGCTGGCACTGATGGACACTGACAGGTGGCACTGCTGGGGCTACAATGATCATCAGGGCACACTGATCATCAGTGCCCTGATGATCAGTGTACATGTCCCCTCCGCGGAAAGCCGATTACCGGCTCTCCTCTCCTCTCAAGCTATCAGCGTGACAGCTCGAGAGGAGATAAATGCCGATAACCGGCATTTCCCTGTTTACATGTGATCAGCTGTGATTGGACACAGATGAGCCGCGCATGCGCAGCGAGAATGGGAGGACGTCATACGACGTCCTTCCAGAACGAGAGAACCACCTTGCGCCCGTCATATTACTATATGGCGGGCGGGAGGTGGTTAAAGTGTTCCTAAACCCAGGACCCTGCATTCACTATATTTGGTCTCCCACAGTACACACAACATGGAAATGCAATTATTTTAGTAAAAAAAACCTGCTAAATACATTTTCTCATCAACAGTTAGAGCAGTCTTGTGACTTCTATCATTGTCCAGCAGAGCACTGGTTAAAGCTTGTAGGAGGAGTTTTCATTCTCCTCTCACTGTACTGCAGGACCCCTGACCTCTGTCTGAACAGTGCTGATTGGCCATTCCTCTACATGGGTAAAGCACAGGTTTACATTAAATAGGCTATATTAATTGCTATTTGTCATAATGACTGCTTCACATGCACTCTCCCAAGAAAAAGAAAAAACTCTAGCAATACACACCAAACTGAGTATGTGCAGCTTACCCCAAGGCTCTGTTATATCAGCAGATGGATTTGGGACAGTAAAAGAAGGGGAGGATCAGAGAAGACAGGATCAAACATCCTTTTTACACAATGAGGAGGATTAACCCCTTCCACGGTGATTATAACAAACATGCTTTACTGCATATACAGACTGGTTTTATTTTTGTGGGTTTAGTAACACTTTAATGGTCTCAGGGACAGTGTGTGTACTCCTAGTACTGGCCCCACACTGTATGCCACTGGTATCAACTAACGACTACAAACTGATGAACATGGATCCCAACCATGTGGTCTCCATGGCACTAAATCAGAGTGATTAGATGGGATTTATGTGCACACAAATCTTCCAGCTGCCACATAGTAAAAGGTGTAGTGACAGGTTTCAGCTGTAACTGTGTAATGCAGTGTGTGAAATAAATAATGTAAACGTTTTAAATGTGATTTAAAACCCTTATGTGTAAATTATAGAACTCTGGCCATGAATGGGTTAAGGAAGGGCAGGCATAGCCAGAAAAGAGTTCTAGATGTCTTCTTTAGGAAATCATTTAAGTTGCATATTAGCATTCCTCTCAGAAACACAGATAAAATACACTATATGATCAAAAGTTTGTAGACACCTGAGCATCACACCTACAAAATACGAGTTAGTTAAATATGCCATTCCAAAACCATAAGCATTGATACACAACTAAACAACAGTTTGGGACTATAACAGGTTCCACTGGAAAGCGAATGTGGGAATTTGGCCCATTGTACAAAGAGCATTTGTAAGGTCTAGTACTGATGTTGAATGAGAAGGTCTGGCACGCAATAGGCATTTGAGTATATCAAAAGGATTTTCAATCCTTTTCAGGGTTGAGGTCAAGGCTCTGTGAAGGCAATTCAGGTTCCTCCACACCAAGCTCATCAAAACATATCATTTTGGACCTGACTTTTGGGCACAGCCACATCCTAAAACTGACATCACAAGGTTGGAAGCACATGGTTGTTTAATATTTCTTTGCATGCTGAAACATTAACAAGAACCTTCACTGGAAACACCTGCACTCTATACTTACTGTAGGAGGGGGTGTCACATAATTTGTGCCATATAGTATGTGAGATTATCAGGTGTCCACAAACGTTTGATCATATAGCGTACTTAAATATACTATGCTTGGAGAGATAAACAGTTCTGACAACACTGGTCAACACATTTTTTCAGAGGTTTTATTTCTTGATATTATGGTAGACCCCCTTAAACTGAACACAAATATAATTTTAGAATGACTATATCAGGTAGGAATCTTGAGAAATATTAAATTACCTTTTAAAGACTATAAGGTACCTAATCACATAATGCTTCTGATACTCTTCATGTGTTTAACAGGGCAAAAAATGTTTTGCTGTTGATTTTAATTTGTGTTCAATGTTCGGTGAATTTCGCTGTAGTGTACAACAATAGCCTGCTTTTTTGTATTCCAGTCCAGCCCTGATCCTGTTTTTTTTTTCCATTGTGGCAATGTCCTGGTGAAACCTTTCACATTGTCCATTGCTGGCTGCACCTAGATTTATGGGAAAGAAATTCAAGCGTGAATGCAGAAAATGAACTTTCAGTGACATGGTCTTGTATGTTGTAAAACGTTTTTCAACCAGCTGAATATATTTTGGTTCTCTGAAGTTGCCAAGAAAACAACATCCTTGTATGCTTTCGGGCGATCTTCTTTGACCTCACTAATAGATCTGTGAACCACTTGTCATTGATGACGTATCTAATCTGTGGACCAACAAAAATGCCTTTCGTAATTTTGGCATCAGTTAATCTTGGAAACATCTGTCTCAAACAATGAAAACCTTTACTTTCCTTGTTCATCACTTTCACAACATTTTTAATCAGTCCACGTTTTACGTGAACCGAAGGTAGAAAATATCTTTGCTGTTCAACAAGTGTGCCATGTTTTTCTGTCCTGAAACCAAATTCTTTCAGAGTAGCCATTTCTTTTTAATGTAATGTGACTCTCTTGCACAGCTGTCTCATTTGCAGATGTAACAACACTACTTTGTATATCTGAGCTGTGTTCCAAGCAGCAAAACCAATACCTTTAGATCTCCACAGATATATTACTTGGTGTACTGAATGTGCTTCAACAGTTTCATGTATTCATGTTTTTTTAAATGTGTGCAGCATAGCCAAAAAGTATTGAGGGGTGTAAGTTGCCACTTTGAAACAAAACAGTCTTGAGGCTTAACACTGATGAATCAATTAAGAGATTTCCTTCTAGTGGGGCATGCTCACAACCCAAAGCTGTGAACAAACCATCAATGGCAGTACAAAAAACAAGGCTGTCAACCTGTGCAAAGAAATTTGTTAAATCATGACTTTGAAAGACAGAAATTGTCGTACCTGGTGATAGCAAGCACCATCCTTGCACTCTGGACCCCAGTAGTTCTGCTTCTTATTTTAATAAACCTAAGCACCAGACTATGTTATGAGATGAGGCTCATCAAATCATTGTCACTGTCCATATCTGGCTGGTGCATTGCAGCATCTTTGTCTGTTACCTCCATGGAGACTCGGCTATCCCAGGATTCCCTTTCCTCATTGGCTGAGACAGCAGAAGGAACCATTGGCTCCCGCTGCTGTCAATCACAGCCAGTGAGTGAATGAGTAGAGAGAGAGGGTGAGGCCAAACCACGGGTCTGTGTCTGAATGGACACATGGAGCAGCAGCCCAGGAGGGGTGTGCCCCCATAGCAAGCTGCTTGTTATAGGGCATCTGACAGGAGGGAGGGGCCAGGAGTGCTGGCCAGGGACCCAAGAAGAGGAGGATTTGGGCTGCTCTGTGCAAAACCATTGCACAGAAAAGGTAAGTATGACATGTTTGTTATTAAAAAAAAATGATGCCTTTAGTATCAATTTAAGAACTAGCAACAAATAGTAGGGCAAGGACAAAGCCACTTGCTTTCTACTTTTTTCTTACCCAATTTTCTTAAAAGAGAGTTCAAAACAAAACATGAGTTTCCCTCACAGGGGGTTTTCAACATTTCTCCTACATCCTAGAACACATGACATGCCTTCCTGTTTGCACTTGCAGCACTGGTGTTCTGGACTTATACTTCAGGCCCTTTTGTGTCTTCTACAGACATCACTGTTTTGCTCACCAACAATGTCTGTACAGCTAGCAGACCCCTGCTGCTCCAGCTCCCCCCTCTCTCCTAGGTGGAGCCTTCTTGATTCCTGGGCGATGACCTCCTGTCTGCCAGGGTAGAAGCCAGAACCCTGGTCAGGTTATTACTAAAATCCCAGCACACACCTGACCAATTAGTATGTTGGCTGGATTGGAGATTTCATCCCTCCCAGATCACTTTGAAATCTCCAGGCTCCAGGTCCCAAAATGGACTTTACGAACAAATTAGGAAACTGAAAAGCCAGTTTCTTCTGCATTAAGCAAACCCCCTGGAGTCCCTCAACCTGCCTAGTTGAGAATCCTTGGTTGTAACCTCTATTTAGACCAGGGGTGGGCAAACTTTTTGACTTGAGGGCCGCAATGGGTTCATATATTGGACCCGGGGGCCGGACCAAGAGTAGATGAATGATGTGTATGTGTCATCCATAGTAAGTATAGTAATATTCCCCCATAGTAAGCATAGTAATTAATCCCCCATATAGTAATTAATCCCCCATATAGTAATTCATCCCCCATAGCAATTCGTCCCCCATATAGCAATTCGTCCCCCATATAGCAATTCGTCCCCCATATAGCAATTCATCCCCCACATAGTAATTCATCCCCCACATAGTAATTCATCCCCCACATAGTAATTCATCCCCCATATAGTAATTCATCCCCCATATAGTAATTCATCCCCCATATAGTAATTCATCCCCCATAGTAATTCATCCCCCACATAGTAAATTCATCCCCCACATAGTAAATTCATCCCCCACATTAATTCATCCCCATATAGTAATTCATCCCCCATATAGTAAGTCCCCCATATAGTAAGTCCCCCATATAGTAAGTCCCCCAATATAGTAATTCATTCCCCATATAGTAAGTCCCCCATATAGTAATTCATTCCCCATATAGTAAGTCCCCCATATAGTAATTCATTCCCCATATAGTAAGTCCCCCATATAGTAATTCATTCCCCATATAGTAAGTCCCCCATATAGTAATTCATTCCCCATAAAGTAAGTCCCCCATATAGTAATTCATTCCCCATATAGTAAGTCCCCCATATAGTAATTCATTCCCCATAAAGTAAGTCCCCCATATAGTAATTCATTCCCCATAAAGTAAGTCCCCCATATAGTAATTCATTCCCCATATAGTAAGTCCCCCATATAGTAATTCATTCCCCATATAGTAAGTCCCCCATATAGTAATTCATTCCCCATATAGTAAGTCCCCCATATAGTAATTCATTCCCCATATAGTAAGTCCCCCCTATAGTAATTCATTCCCCATATAGTAAGTCCCCCATATAGTAATTCATTCCCCATATAGTAAGTCCCCCCTATAGTAATTCATTCCCCATATAGT